TTGTCTCCACCTCCCTGGAGTGGGAAGCTGAGGTTTGGATAGCTTAAGTCATCTGTCAGGAAGTGGTGGAACAGATCCAGCTCTCTTCTTTGACATAGACTCCTGAGTTAATTGCTCTCCACCAGCCGGGCTCGGTGGCTCAGCCTGTAATCCCGCGCCTTTGGGAGGCTGAGGTGAGTGGATTGCCTGAGCCCGTGGGTTCGAGACCCGCCTGGGCAGCGAGACCTCATCTCTACAATAAATCAAAAAGTCAGCCGGGCGTGGTAGCGCATGCCTGTAATTCTGGCTACTTGGAAGGCTGAGGCAGAAGGATCGCCGGAGCCCAGCAGGTCGAGGCTGCAGTGGCCGAGAGCGGCCACTGCACTCCAGTCTGGGCAACAGAGTGAGACTCCTACTCAAAAAAAAAAAAGAAAATTGCTCTCCACCTGTGCCGTGTCTTACACGACGCAACCTTTTGGTGGCAACTCACAGCCAACAATTGTGATCAATCTTTTGACATGGGTGGAGCCATCTGCCCTATGCTCAGTGGCCTCGGGCTCTTAGACTGGTTTCCATATAATTCATTCCCCCCTTGCATTTCTGCTAGGAGATGCCACTTTGACTCCATCCTATTAACTGCTGGGTATGAGAAATGAATCTGAGCAACTTGTTAGAACTGTGTGTAAAATAAGAGTACAAGAGTGTTCTGGTATTTGCTTAGCTGCTTGGTCATTTTAGGTTTTGTCTTTTCTGCTGGGTTTGGATAGACACGCCCCTTGGCGTGGATAGTCCACGCACACAGGAGAACTGCCAAGGACTGGGAGTGGCTGCATTGGAGTCAGGCATACCTGGGGTTAAGTTTGGAACCTGTCCATTTTCAGGCAAACGACCTGACCTCTGCCAGCTTCAATTACCCTCAGTGATAAACTAGGATTGATAACATATGCCTCACCAGGAGTATTGAGGGGATGATCCAAGTTCCATGCTTAGCCCCCTGTTGGTCCTCAGTAGGTTGTAGTTACAGTTTTTAACTTCTGTAACTTGAAGTATAAGAGTCTGATCATTCATTCATTCATTGCCAAAATATTCACTGTCCATCTCTCCCTAGTTTTCTTTTCTGAAAAATGAGGATAATAATAGTATTTATCTAGCTGGGAGATATGAGAATTCAGTGAGGAAATCTATGTAAAGTGCTCAGAAATCATGCAGGGTATAAAATAAATGTGGTATATATGTTACCTATCATCATCATTAGTACTAATGTGTGCCAGGCATTGTGCTAGGCAGGGACTAGGGATGAGAGGTGAACAAGATAGACATGACCTCTGTCCTCATGGGCTTGTAGGGTCTTTCCATCTTGTATTCTCTATGGGGAGAAAAGCCAATTGGTATGTCATCACTATCTATAAGAGATGAATTGATGGGTTGGGCAAATGACCCAGATGGAAGTACCAAAGGGCCCTCCACTCTAGGGGCTGGCTTCCACTCTAGGGGCTGGCATGGGAGACCATTCCATGCTTTCTACCATCAAGTCTCTGGCCCTCTGGTCTTACACTCTTGGTTTCATTTCAGTACAATCCTAAGCAGCCCCAAGTGATCAGTCAAAAGGAGGGAACCATGCCTAATTCATAGCCATGGAGGTCAGTGTCTGTGGAAATGTCCTAAAACCTTCAAGATGCCACACGGGTGAGGTCTAGGCAGGGAAACTGGTGAGGTGGGAAGAGCTCTGGATTTGGAGTTAGGGACCAGTGTTTAAGTCCTGGCCCCACTCCTTTGTAGCTATGTGGGTTTTTTCAGGTCACCTCTCCTGTTGGAGCCTTGGTTTCCTCACCCGTTAAATGCAGATGTGGTAGTGCCTGCCTGGTGGGGTTGCAGTGAGGGGTGAGTAGGAGCAGAACATAAAGGTAAGGGAGCTTAAGGCCTTCTCAAATATCATCTCCTTTGGGAAGATTTCTGTGACCTTTCTAGGAGAGTTCACTGCTTCTTCTTTTGAGCTCAAAGGCATTTATTTAGACAACCACTAAGCTCATCACTGAACATGGGCTTAGATTGGGTCCCCTGGAAACAGACTGAGACAGAGAAGTGCTTTCTGGGAGGCTCCAGGAAATACCACTGTCAGGAAATGAGCAAGGCAAGACTGGGGAGAGGGAGAAGCTGACACACAGAGGGAGAAGCTGACACGCAGAGGGAGAAATTGGCAGGCAGGGAGAGACTGACACACACAAAGGGATAAGCTGACATACACAGAGAAAGAAGTTGACACAGAGGGAGAAACTGATAAAACATGGTGGTTACGGGGGACTTCACCCATCTTCCAGGGAGCTCTGGGGCTAGAATGGCCTTTCAGAGCTGTCCTGAAAGAGGCTAGGCCTGTCCTCTAGCCTCTTTCACCTCAGCAGGCACTGGCTAGAGGCCACTCCTCCTCTTTTCCCTGGAAGGCTCATGACATTGGGCCACACAGTCCCTATAGCAGAGGGCAGTTCCCAGTGAGTGAGAGTGTTAGGGGAGTTGTTATCCCATCGGGTAAGAGAGGCCCTGCTAGAGACTGTGCTAAGTTCCAGAATCAAACAGATGTTCTGCCTACATGGGGCTTTTGGGCTATATTTGGTCTATATTTACCTATTTGGTCTCTCTGGCCAGCTAGGCACCTTCCTCAGGACAGAATCTTCCCACTAGAAGGGCTAATTTTTTAATTTTAATTTTTTCTTTAGCAATCTAGACAGGCTTCTGAATCATAGTTGGTGCTTACTGAGTCTATCAGATCTCATTACCAGTGATGTACCCAGATCCCTTTCTTTTTCTCTCTAAAGTATCATCACTAGCACGTTTGAAATATCTGAGTCCCTTCTTGGTGGACTAAACTTGCTCATGATTAGTTTTCCAGACTCAAAAGAGAAAAAGGAAGCAAGCCTGTAGAGATAGAACCTAATTAAAAAACACCTTGCACATTAAAAAACACCTTGCACAGCAGTTGAAATGAACGTTGGCTGAGACCAGGCCTGGTCAGGGCCCAGCCTCTCAGCATCTACCAGAATTTTCCTGAAGAGAGTGACAAACAGCAACGGCACCTGATTAACTCCCCCAGGGATCTGCAACTGGAGGGTCATTTTGATGTTTCCTGGGAAACTTTGCCGCTGGGTATAAATCTAGCCGAAGCTCTGCACCTGCCAAATTCTCTAGGCTTAACTGAGCCATTGTTCCACACTCCAAGTTCTAACATTATCAGATTTAGCCTGATTTGTGATGGTCCCATAAGGACCACTTTGTACTTAAAGAAAGCTGTTGGCCAGGTGTGGTGGCTCAAGCCTGTAAACCCAGCACTTTCCGAGCCCGAGGCGAGAGGATTACCTGAGCCTGTGGGTTTGAGATCAACCTGGGCAACTTGGCGAGACCTCATCTCTACAATTAAAAAAAAAAATTAAACCGGGCTTGGTGGCTCAGCCTGTAATCCCACACCTTTGGAAGGCTGAGGTGAGTGGATTGCCTGAGCCCGCGGGTTCAAGATCCACCTGGGCAACTTGGCGAGACCCCCCCCCATCTCTGCAATAAATCAAAATGAGCCGGGCGTGGTAGCGCGCACCTGTAGTACTGGCTACTCAGAAGGCTGGGGCGGAAGGATCGCTGGAGCCCAGCAGGTTGAGGCTGCGGTGGCCGGGAGTGGCCACTGCCCTTCAGTCTGGGTGACAGAGTGGGACTCCAACTCAAAAAAAAAAAAAAAAAAAATTAACTGGGCGTGGTAGCATGCACCTGTAGGCCTGTAGTCTGGCTACTTGGAAGGCTGAAGTGGCAGAATCACCGGAGCCCAGCAGATCGATGCTGGGGTGGCTGTGAGCGTGCCACTGCAATCCAGCCTGGGTGACAGAGTGAGACTCCAACTCAAAAGAAAAGAAAAGAAAAACAAAGCTGTTGACTGACCCATGAGCTCTGTGGCAGGGACGCAAGCATACATTCTCCTCTGCTATCCTGTGGAAAGTGTACGGAATATGGGTATCCTTTCCACTGCTAATTGGAATGAGAAGGCCGTGTTTACCTGCTACTGCATGTTATGATTCAAATAAGTTTTATTATTCCAGCTGGTCCCCACAACAGACCTGCAATGTAGACTGTTCTGTGATTGCGAGGAACTTGTTCAGCCTCTTTGGACCTCTCCTTCCCCATTTTTAAAATGTTACTAGAACCTCTTAAGTTGTTATGAAGATTAAATCTTGTAATGCATGTGAAGCCCTTCAAATTTCTTAATAAAGATTTGAAATTTTTGATAAGTATATTTATATTTAGTCTCACTTTATAGGAGAAGAAACTGAGATTCAAGGGGACTAAGTTTAAGAATAAGATCCTTCGGCAATGAGGAAGGAAAACACTGTGGGACTATCATGCCAATGGAAGTAGATGGTCTTGAGCCGATTTCTACTATAAACAGTATATAAACTTTTTTTTTCTGAGATAGGATTTCACTAGCTTGCCCATGCCTAGCCCAGATTTCACAGTTATTTATTTATTCATTTATTCATCTATTTATTTTAATTGTAAATGAGTTCTCAACAAGTTGTCCAGGCTGGTCTTGAACCCCTGGGCTCAGGCAATCCTCTCACCTTTGTCTCCCAAAGTGCTGGGATTACAGGTGTGAGCCACCGCACCCAACTATATGTATTTTTTTACTCTTGGGAATAGAGGGAATACTGACTTCTCAAAAAAAAAAAAAGATGACAGGATAGTGTTGCCAAAGAATGAAATTTTAAAAAGAAAATACTTGTGTTTTTCAAACAATTGAACATTCTTCTTTTTATATCCAGGCCTAAATGCCAAAAGTGCACCATATTCAAAGATAATGAGGTTTGAAAAAGACCCCCATTGAACCCTCCACTGAGGGCCGCCGAAAGCACTCCTGTTTCGATTTCACACCCAGATGGCTTTACCTCATTTTGGTCATTTTGTCCCTGAACAGGAGTTCCACTGGCAGACCCCTCACGCTCAGACAAAGGTGTAGCGGTGGCGCCTAAGGCCCTCTGTGCTTCTTGGGAATGAAGGTCGTTGTCGTCCTCATCATCATTGTCTGCTGTAAGTAGTGAGCCCACTGGAACAGAGCCAAGGTTCTGTTCTCCTGTCTGTGTCATGGTGGGGGAACCCCTCCCTGAGACAGCATTGAGTGAGGGAGAGTCACAAATCACTCAGAAGAGAATCAGGAGTGAAGCAGCCTCCCACCAACATTCTCCTGCTTCTGTTTTTGCTATAAAATGGGCTAGGCCCGGTGTTGGAATCTCATAAAGCCTTTCAGAAATCAAAGGTTTCTCTCTTTTTTAGATTGAAATGCATCATTTATTTAGAAAGTAAATTTGAAACAGAGAGATAAGATTCACCTCCCCAAGGTAGGGAAGGGGGGCAAAGCTTAGGAAAATATGGCCTGGCCATAGCTCAGAGAACACATGTCCAGACTATAGCTTAGCAAGGCAATGGCCAGAAATCAAAGGTTTCTAATGGTTTAGTAGAAAGTAAGTTTGACTACGGTTAGACCCTCGTCACCTGGGAGTCTTTTTTCCTTTGGCTGCTAGTTGCCTTTATTTAAAGTCATGTGAATCTCAGAACAAAAATGCAGACATATAGCTAATTTACAAATGATTAATGCTTAAAGAAAGACTTTATGGTGACTTATGGGATAAGTGGCAATTATAATTCATTGCTACCAGGAGATCAGGTTGCATACCCCTGCAAAATGACAAAGGACCTACTGGGAGACCGTTCAGGGTCTGGTGGAAGACTCGTAGACAGACTCTTTAGCTGGATTTGTTGAGTAGAGATTTGTTCAAATACATTTTTCTGTTTCAGCTGTGTAGCAATAACTTTTGAGTCCCTAAGTCAAAAATGTCAAAAAACAGTCTTCTCTCTTCCTCTTAGTCAGTGGTAGAATCTGCAGTTTTCAAGACCATGGGGTAAGGGAGGACCCATATGCAGGAGGGACTGCTTCTACAGCCCCACAGTGTGTCCTGAAGATCAGCTCCTGGGCATGGCTCCACCCCCTCTCCAGAAACTTCTTGGGCAGCAGTGGCCACTCCCGGGCTTCATCTGTCCCCATCAGCATTAGCCCTTCATGACAGCAGTTGTCTAAACACTATAGTGGGACAAGAAGGCACCTGGGAAAATTCCCCCAAACTCTTTCTTCTTCAAGTTTATATTTTTATTGCGAAACTAATATATGCATATAATTAAAAGGCAAAACAATTGAACACATAGTAACAAGGTAAAGCCCCTCTTCATCCTTTCCAGACCCCAGTTGTTTTCTATACCCAGATATAACCTAACCACCTTAAGAGTCTGGTATACATTTTCTACACAGCTTTTACATATGCACATTTAAAACATTGTATTAATAATAGAAAAGTAATACATACTCATTATAAAAAAAGGAAATGCAGACAGCACAGGAGTGTATAAAATAAACATTGCCTGTTTCTTTCTCTGTCTGCCTCCTCAGTTCTTTTGCCTAGAGATATTGCTATTAAATGTAGCATATTTTCAAGACACATAATTTTGTTATTATCTCCCTATCGGTGGCCATGTGGGTGGCTTCCAATTTTCTGAAATCACAAACAATGCTGCAGCAAACATTTGGGCCCACTTTCATAAGCATTTTGAAGAAGTAAAAATTGCTGGGTCCATGTGTATTTGCCATTTAAAACTGCTGATTGAGAGTGTCTTTCCTGCCTCTTAAGTATTTTGTTTCTCCTGTGAGATTGAAAATGCCTGTTGACATCTGTAGGAACTGGCCTTTCTGGCTTTGAATTTTCCCGATAATGTTGCATCAGACTTGAGGGTGTTTCTGCCCAGGATGGTGGTTTTCTACTTTGGGGGGAGGATCAGGGTTGGCAGTAGAGCATTGTTTAGAGTGTCATGGAAATTGGGTGCTCATCCTGGGTTAGCAAGAAACCAGCTGTGTTACGGGGTAAATCGAATTCTGTTTTCTTCCTTAGGAAGGGGCTGATGATCCCAGCCATGTCCTTGCACTTTGCTCTAGGGATCTGGCGATATCCCCAACGGGGGGAGAGGTCAAGGCAGCAGGCAGTGCAAGGGTTCTTCTTGTCTTCTCATTGGCAGTGGCAGCCCCCACTCACAGCAGCTTCTGGCAGTTTCAGAGGATGGTCAAACAAGTCACAGGGCGGAGTGCCTTCTTCTCGTATTACGGATATGGCTGCTACTGCGGACTTGGGGGCAAAGGGGTACCCGTGGATGACACAGACAGGTGGGTGCAGAGGCTCTGAGGCTGCCCATCAGTTGACTTGCATTGAAATCCACGCTTGAAGCCACAGAGAGGGGATTCAGATTCTTGCATGGCAAGTAACAGAAACCAACTCTGGCTGGCATAAGGAAAAACAGAATGGGAGTCAGAGGTGTGTCTTGAGGAGCCGGTGTCAGGGCCGACTTCTTGCATGTGTGACCTGTAAAGTTGCACAGGGGCCGGCACTCCTCAGGGCTTGAATGTAGCTGACAGTCCTACTGTCGCTACCTTGGAAGTCTCAATAAGGGGCCCTATGTTTTTATTTAGCACTGGGCTCTGCAATTCTGCAGCTGGGCCTGCCCAGAGTTCTAGAAACTACTTCATTCTCATAGTAAATGTGCTCTTCTTTCAGCTCCCAGCTTCTGAGATTAGGGGCACAGCAAGACTGACTCACTGTCTTCCAGTCCTAATTCCATATTCTAGGAGAGGGAACTCAAGTGGCCCAGTTAGGAAAAGTTGTTCATCTGGGCCAGGTCTCATGGCACAAACCTGGCTTCCAGGCCGCCTCCTAAGGATGGGGGGGTGGGATAGGGGGCGTGAGTTCCTAGAAAAAGTAGAGGTGGGTGTAATCTGGTGAGCGTATGGGGAGATAGGAAACAGGACAGTTGGGGTGTCATTGCATTTGAGGAAATAAGAAAGCAAAATGTTCCTTGCCACATTTAACCTAACGTGGAGAAATATGTCCCTATAGGGGGGCCTGAAATATCCCTTCTTGAGCTTGAGTCTCATGCATTGGGCTCATGGAACCGTAGGATGTTCCAACTGGAAGGACCTCAGAGCCCTGGAAAGGCACTGACACTTATGAAATGCCCATATGTGTCAAGCACTGAGATTGGTGGTTTGCACATAGGGCCTTTTTGCATCCTCATGGGGAATGTACGAGTCTATGTCACCAGCCCCATTTCACAGGCAAAGACAGTGAGGACTCAAGACCCAGAGAGGCTAGATGCCAACCTCCCACTCCCCAAGGCATGTAGCTCCTAAGTGGCAAAGTCAGGATTTGAATAAGAACGTGCCTGTTTCAAAGTCTAGCCCATTCCTTGGTGCTCTGTGCCTTCCTGCCCAAGTCCAAAGGCTGATTAGAAATTGAACATCATTAGCCAAAGACAGTGAATGGCAAAGCACCCACTTGCAGAGGGAAATGGTGGGAGAGGGAGACAGAAACATTTTTCTCGGCTTGTCAGACCTTAGATTCTAAGCCCAGGTTTCTGCATTCCTGTCCCTTGCATAGTGGTGGAGAAAATGGGCTGAGGCCATTCCCCAGATGTTTTTTCTCCTCCAGTGCTCTCCCACCCAGCCCCTGGGTGCTGGGAGCACAAGGACCACATCTGACAGTTGTCTCCTCAGGACAATCACATTGCTTGGCATATAGTAGGTGCTCAGTCAAAATTATTAAAGGAATGAATCAGTCACATGGACCTGGGTTTGAGTCCTGGGTCTATCATTTTCTAGATGTATAATTTTGGGAAATTGGCCTCTCTGAATCTCATTTCCTTCCCTACAAAATGGAGACCATGATTGTATTCCACAGGGTCACTGAAAGTAGCTATTGAGATAGCAATAGGTACCAGAGAGGGCTAAGTACGCATCCCTGGTTATTTTTATTATTTCTCACATGACCAGTAATTCACTGCCCCACCTTCGGTGCCTTCTCGCCCAGGGGAGGAGGCAGGTGAATCCTTTCTGGTCCCCATCTGAGATCCTGGAGCCAATTTCCCAGGGACCCACCCCCAGGGACAACCCCTCACCTCCCTCTTGTCTGGTCCCTAGGTGCTGCCGTGAGCATGACTGTTGCTACAAGAAGCTGAAGGAGTTGGGCTGCCAGCCTGTGCTGAACGGCTACCAGTTCCACGTAGTCAACGGGACTGTGATCTGTGAGTAGCCTTCTCTGTAGGAAAACATCTTTGAACCTGGGCCTTTCTGAATGTCCACCACCTTGTAAACCTAGTGAACCTTTAGAAAATGAGATTTTTCCCAGGGCGTTGAAAGAGACAGTGCTGAGAATCAGATCCTCACTTTGGCCCACCCTAGACTCTCTTGCACCCTCTGAGAGCCCAGTACCTAGCAGATAGTACTTGCTCAATAAATAACTATTGACTTGAGCTTACATTGGATTTTGCAGCTTCCCTTGGCAACTGTTGCTGTCGAGAACATTTTTCCTTATTTCTGTCATGTGTTAACAAAGCAACCCAGCTGTCTTTAGCTGATCAAATATTTGTCAAGGGTGACTGCATGCCAAGCACTGGAGTGGGTACTGTGGGGGCCGCAAAAGTAAATAGGCAGGAAGAGGAAGGAAACTCAGTGTTACCGAGGCCATTCAAGGAACCAGGTAGGTGAGGGGACAGAGTGTCCCACACAAGGTGAGTGGCCCCAGCATCTGGAGTGTGCTCTGGGGCTGGTGGGGTGTGGGTATGTGCAGAGCAAGATTGGTCTAAGAGCAGGCACATCTGAAGGTGCTGGCCAGTGTTCTTTTGTGAGCACCATCAATTCCATCATAACCAGCAGTGTGGATACCCCTCACAGTGTGCGGCTCATCTCCTGCCAAGCCTTGTGGGGTTGCATAAGTCACTCCTCTCCCTAGGTGTGTTTATTCACAGCTATGTGCTTCTTGGAGCTCATCTGTCTCCTCCCAAGGTTCACTTCCCCTCTACTCATCTCCCAGGGTGAGGATTCGTATTGCCTTCCATCCCCCCCAATGGGTGCTCAGGGCTCAGACCCTTATGTCTCCCCAGCATTCCCCCTCACCCCCAGGATTCTGGCTCAGCAACACCAAGACCCAGAGTTAGGACTGTGAAGTCTCTTTGACACCAGCCATGAGAACTGAGACATGGCCGCGGGGGGCTCTGACCCTTGCTCCAGGGAGACCAGACTTAGCTCGCCCTGCTGCTATGCCTGTACAGCCCTTGCCTCAGCACCTTATCAACAGGGAAAGAAGCCCCTTTTGTCTCCACATGAGCTCAAGGAGACTTCCTGAGCTGGAGCTCTCTGACCATGGTCACCCTTAAGCCCAAAGCAAAGTGTCTCTCCTCTGACTCACCCAAGGCCACATTCAGGAGATGGGAAGCGATCAGGATCTGGTGGGAGGGATATAGAGAGGAGACTGGAGAAGGTGGCCCCCAGAGTATTGTTTGCTGCAGTATACGATGCCCTCATGAGGCCAGGAGCTGAGTTTCTGATGGCCTCCTCCTAGCTGTCTCTGCCCCAGGGGAATGGGTGGGGGATGCCTGGCGGTCCCAGAGCAAGCCTTCACCCTGGGCTCCTATGGACTGCAGCCTTGGCTCTCCAAGTCTGAAGCAGCCTGTTTATTCAGCCCTCCCCGCCCTCCCAGTCCAAGACCCCAGGAGATGGGGAGAGTGGGGCAAAGTGACCTGGGACAGAAGCTGGAGCCCCAGGAGGTGGCACACAGAAGTGTCCCCTGATTGGCACCTGCTGGGCAGTGGTGGGACGTGCAGGGACTGAGAACTGGACTGAAAAGCACGTGGCCTGGGCTATGCTTCCTCCCACATTGCCCCTGCAGAGCAGAAACAGTCAGTCAGGGCTCCTGAAGCCCAGTCCCTGCTCAGGGACCCAGCATGGAAGGAGGCTTCCACGTCAGTACCGGGGCATCAGCTTCCCCTCCTCAGTTGACCCCGCCAGCGAGAACCAGGTCCATCCCTATTCTCCCCACCCCCACCTGGCCAAGCTCCTGCTCCCAGGAGCAGGCCTGAGAGCCAGGTGATCTGGGTTCTAATCCTGTCTCTGCTGCTGACAGGTGCTGAGTCCCAAGCCCATCCATTCAATTGCCCAGTAATGCCTGCTCACTGGGTGCCCACCCAGTGCCAGTGCTGCACCAAGGGCACAGAATGAGGCAGACCCAGTCCCTGATCTCCTGTCATTCACCACCTGGTCGAAATTTAAGAGCTGAATGTTCCCTCAGAGACCACCCCTCATTGTAGCAATGGGGAGACTGAGACCCATGGAGGGAAAGGGTTTGATCCAAGTAACAGACAAGATTAAGATACTCGTCTTGAACCTTTCCAGTGCTCTGGGACATACTGATGGCCTGAGTTGTCTGGGTCTCAGTTTTCTCATCTATGAACCAGGTACAATAGCAACAGCAGCAGTTTGTGGGCATCTGTGGTAGATGCTGTAACACCAGCACCTTGAACCCCCGTAGGTAACCTCAGAAGGTAAGCATCATCTCCTCATTATCAAGGAGGACTCTGAGGCTCAGAGAGGTTAAGCGAAATGGCCAAGGCACATAGCTAGGGGAAGAAGAGTTGGGATTCAGACCCAGGTTGTCCTGCCTCGTACCACCCTGCCCTTGGAGGGTGCTGGGTCTGGGTTTGACTGGAGGACTCTCACATGATGTGAGTCCTAGGGTTTGCAGCAAATCGGGCAGAGTGCTCTTCTCTGACCCCGAGAGCAGATGGAACGTGGTTCTTTGTCAGGCCCTGGAGCTTTCTGTTCTTGTGAGGAGGCCTTGGAATCAAGCAGAGTTGGGTCTGATCCCAGCTCTCCTCCTTCTGACTGGGCCTTAGTCTTCTCATCTGTAAAAGGGAGCTAATCACATCACTTCATAAGGTTGCTGGAAAGAATGACTGAAGCAACCCAGCTCCCAGGGCTGGCAGACCGTAGGTGCTTCGGTCATGCCCCTCCTTTAAATGTGGAGCTTTCTCTTTTTGTCCAAGTTTTCTTTCCCCTTTTCTTAAAGCACTGGGTTTTCTTTACTATTGTCCTGAGGTTTCTTTGAAAGGCCTGCTCTGCACTTGCACCCCTCGGGCTAAGGGGTGCTAAGGCCATGACTCCCTTATGGAGTAAGACCTCATCCCCTGCCCCAATTACACGTCAGTTCAAGGAGCTGCCCCTGCAAGGGTTAACCACCTCCCCAGTCTCCCCAACTTCTGAAATCCTGCACCAAGGCCTGGTCCCAGGTTGCCTAGCAACAGGGGCTGCTCTGGGATGCAGCAGGTGAGCAGGGGAGGGAAAGGAGAAAAGCAATGTGGTCTGTCCAGAACTCTAAATGTCACTGGGAGATCAGTGCAGAAAAAGAACTGTAACCTGAGCCCAGGGGCCAATTTGCCTGGTGGGGACAGCTGCCCTCGGGCCGCCTGGGAGGTGATTAGCCCTTCTTCAAGTGGGCTTGCATAAGTAGCTGGCATTTGCAGGGGACTTTAAGATCACTCAATAGTGACACCCCCTCCACGCACATGCACATCCACGTGTGTTGCGGGGGAAGCCTGGTGTGGAAGGCAGAGCTACTTGTACCCTGTCCCCTCCATGTCCTGGCCTTGGCCTGCTTCCCTCTGTCAGAAAGGGAGGTGGAAATGGTCACCACTGGAACATGTATCTTGCCAAGACCCTTCTCATCAGCTGCCTCCACTCGCTGCCACATCACCTGCTTTCTCTCCCAGCATTCACCTCTGCCTGCACTCATCTCATTTCCTTCTCTGTTTGCTTATCTCTGCCCAACTAGAACACAAGTTCCTGAGAACCGGGAGCACGCCTGTCTTGTATCGTGGGCACTCATTCTCACAGAGCCCGCAGAAAGCGATGCCCCTGGGCCTAGGCAGTGTGAGGGTCTGCTTGCTCATATCTGTCCCCTCAGTCCTAGCCAAAGACCAGACACATGTTGGAAGCTCAATACGTGTTTGCTTATTGGGCGAGTGAATGGAAAAACTCACAAAATAGGCAATGCAGGTATCTTTATCTCCATTTGAAATCTGAGGAAGCAGACTCAGAGAGAAGGAGCCACTTGCCTAAGACCCCTGATCGGGGGCAGTGGGTCTGGACCTGGAGCCTGGCTTCCTGTTTCCTAGCAGTGGACTCCTTTCATTGGCCTGTAGGCCGTGAGAGTGCTGCCAGTGAGGAGCCTTTACTGTGTGTTGAGGCTGGAGGTCAACCCTGAGGGAACTTGCACTTCAGGGAGTATGACAGACCACAGTATATTCATATATAAAGATTCATTCAAATGGGGATAAGTTCTGTGAAGCATCTCAAGGTGACAGGCAAGGGAATGCCAGGGTGGGGGAAGGGTCCCTACTCTCTAGGTGGTCAAGAAAGTCCTCTCTAAGAAGGCGGCATTTCATCTGAGACCTCTGAGCCAGGGGGCTTGGAGCATAGGAGCCCTGGGAAGGAGCAGGGATGAGGCAGGATGGAGTGAGGCACTCGCTTTCCTCTTCGGTGCAGGGGAGCCTTGGAGTATGTTAAGTAGGGTATGCTCTTATTTTGTCCTAGAAAGATCAATCACTCTGACTACAGTCCAGAGGAGGAGGGGAGCAGGGAGGAAAGCGGGGACCATTAGGAGCTGTTTTGACGCACTGGGAAGGCATCATTGTAGCTGGGACCCACACGGTGACAGTGGGGATGGGGAGCTGTCTCAGTTGCTAGGTGTGCTTTGGAGGCAAAGCCCACAGGACCCACCGATGGGTTAGATGCGGGGTGTGAAGGCTGCATCCCAGGCTTTTGACCTGAGCAGCCATAGATTGTGGCGCCATTGACTGAACTCGTGAAAATAAGGGAAGAGCAGACTCTGAAGACACAGCAAGAGCACGGTGTGAGCCCTGCTGAGTCTGAGACATGCGTCAGGTACACAGGGGGGTGGCAAGTGAATGCATATGGAGGTCTAGAGCCTGAGGGAGATGTATGGGCTGGAGCCGAGAACCTGACAACATTTAAAATCCTGACACCGGACAAGAACACCACGGAGAGAATTTGGAGGAGACCAAGGCTGAAGCCAGGGGTGCTGACAGGGGCCTGCCAGGGACCTGGGTCAACCACAAGCAGGAATGCAGACCTGTTGCCTTGTCTTATTTGTGGAGATGGAGTTCATGGAATGAGAAAGAACCTTTTGGAGCCATCTGATTTTTTCTTCATGTCTATTTCTTCATGAGTACATGGAAAGCTGCAGGATCTGAATTTAGGCTTGTTTTTACAAGTGGCTTCCAGAGATGGCTCTTCTTGGCCTGGGGCTGCCTCTTCTAGGTCAGGACAGGCTCAGTCCTACCATGGCTGAGGGATGCCCCCAAAATGACAGTCCACAGTGAAAAACCACGGTTCCATATCAGCTCCAGACTGCTGGAAGTAGAACAGGATGTCTAAATCCCAAAGTAGAAGGGACCAGAAGAGAAAGGGGACAGGAAGGGAGAGAAGGAGGGTGGAGGTTAAGGAAACCGAGATGAGAGAAAAACAGAAGAGGAGAGGACCAGAAGACGAAGAGAGAAGTGGAAGGAGAGAAGGAAGCATGGGTGAGAAGGTGGCTGAGGAAGAGAAGAGTATTGGGTTTCCGGGGCGACAGCCCCTGGGGCAGTGGCAACGCTTGGGCCGGGCCCTCAGGGAGGAGAGGAGACTGGCTGGGGGCCTGAGCCTATGTAGCCCTCGCCCCCCCAGAGGATAAGGGGCTCCCTGGGGAGCTGGGTTAGATGACTCTGGAAAGACTTTCAGAGGCGGGAGCAGGGAGAGGGTGGGCAGAGGGGACCCAGGCACTAGGAACGGTGGCAGCGGTAGGCGGAGAGCCAGAGGCATGAACAGCTTGGCAGATTTCCTGAGGGCGAGTGGAGAGGGGCAGCTGGAGCTCGGGTGGTGACGGCATTGGGAAATGAAGTCTCCAGGGAGGCGTGGGAGGACAGCTTCTGCAGTCCGCGGACTTCACAGAGGGAGATCAGCAAACAGCCTGACTGTAGTCAGCTCCGGGCCAGTTCGACAGGGTGCGCCTTGTTCCTCCACGTGGAGCTAGGGTGCGTCATCCTGATGACAGCAGCAAACACCTGCAGGGCAGCTTCTGTGTGCCAGGCACATCCGGACCATTCTATGTGTAGACAGCAAGCCTCGTCACGGCCTTGGGTGCTAGATGCTGTTAGGCAGTTTTGACACGACTATGTTTTAGCACCATTTCATGGGTGAGGAGACTGAAACTGACTTGCCCAAGGTCAAAGACCAGAATGACTGGTGGTCTCCCATCCTCACTGGCAACCCTGAAAAGAGAGTGGACTGGGGTGGAGTTGTCTATAAAGAGGAAGCTGTGCCTGATAGCGCGCGCGCGCGCACACACACACACACACACACACACACACACACACACACACACACACACACACACAGGTTCTGAGTAGACTGTAAATAAAAGGTCCCCATCTAGTGGTGACTCAGTCAAAGGATAGACACTCAATCCCAAGGGCCCACAGAGGCTTCATTCATTCATTCAGTGGCTATTTCTTGAGCATCTGCTGTGTGTAGCATCTGTTCTGGATGCAGGGGACACTGTGATGAACCAGACAGACAAGGTCTCAGCCACACGGAGCTCATACTCATACCTCATTGAGGGCTGCAGACACAAGCAACTAAACAGAAAAGTGAAGCTGTGAAAAGCGTAGTGAATGAAATACACAGGGTGTGTGGGAGGAGTGGCCTAGAGAGAGCTCTGGGGCAGGTGGTCAGGGAGCATCTCTGAGGAGATGAGAGTTGGCCAAGCCCCAAAGGTGGGATGGGTACTGCCACTTGCAGATTGTGGACAGAAGAATTTAGACAAAGGAAGAGTAAGTACAAAGGCCCTGGGATGAGACAGAACAAGACTTGTGGCATGAAAAAGGCCAGGGTGCCCAGAGAAGGGGAGGGTGGGAAGGTGGAGGGCGGACGAGGACATGGGCTGGTGAGAGTCCTCGGGCCACAAGGATTTGTCATGCTTTTCCCGAATAAGGGAAACCACAGTGGAGCTCTAAGCAGGAGAGTGAATGCAACTCAGATTGCAATTTGAGATGATCCCTACTTCCTTCCTCCCCTGAAGGAGGAAGAACTGCTGGTGACAGGGATTTGGGTGGGAGCCAAGGAGATGGAGAGAAGAAGGCGGAGCATGGACTATTTTAAACACAGAGAAGATCAGTGGGCCTTGCTGGCAGATTGCATGTGCAAAGGGAATGCAGGGGAGGAAGCGAGGTCGACTCCTAGATCCTGGCTGGAGTCCGAGGTGGTGCTGTTTAGTGAAAATGTGGGTGATGGCCAGGCTTGGCGGGCGGAGGCAGCGCTAGTATGTCAGGGGTTCCCTCTTGGGCGCCTGCACTTGGAGATGCCTGAGACATCAAGTGAGATGTCACGCAGGCAGCTGCAAATAAGTGACGGGCTCTGGGGAAATAGGTTCTGCCACCTTGGCCTGTGTGCTGCCCAGGTGCACTGATTCAGGAACCCTCCATGCAGCCATGCTTCCCCTTGCTCCTTCTGGGTTCTCCTCACCCCAGCACTTGTGAGATGCCCAGATGTGATCAGGGAAGGACTTGGGGTTGGAGAGCAAGAACTCCTGGTGTCTTGCCTTTCTGTCCTTAACTCTTGGCCCCTTGCAGCAAGCTCCCTGCTCTCCCCAGGCTCAGAACCAAATGCTGGGGGTAAGCTAGCAACCCCCAGTGATCCTGTGTGTCTCCGCAGGTGGATGTGCCCTTGGCCCTGGCATTGGCTGCCTCTGCGGGTTGAAGGCCTGTGAGTGTGACAGACAATCTGTGCGCTGCTTCAAAGAGAGCCTGCCCACCTACGAGAAAAACCTCAAGCAGTACCCCAACTGGCCCCGGTGTGGCCAACATAAACCCCGTTGCTAGTTGCCAGTCAGCATCTGCTCCAGCGTCACTCTTCTGGGAAGCCTTCTCAGATCACCCCGACAGGCTCCTTTTCTTCCCCCAGGAAGAAGAACAGAATGTCTCCCCTGGGGCTGTTCACCCATTAGCATTCTGATCTAGGACTCCTTGTCACTCAGGACTGGAGAGCAGAAATGAGAAAGACAAAGCCCCTGCCCTGAACGAGCTTGCATTCTGTGGACTACAGATATGTATGTATAGATATGAGTGATACACTCAGTTATTGGTACGTACTTTGAAGTAATGAAATAAAGGGACAGGGTACAGAAATACTCCCAACTCCCATCCCAAGAAGTTTCCAGGAGGGGCGAGGTCCCAGGATCTACCCCAAGCTCTCCCCTCACCCCCACCCCAAATCAGGATGCAGGGCAGACTTGGGAGCCCGGTCCACAACCACTCTAGCTGGCAACCAAGCAGAGGTCTGGAAAGCGAGGTCATGGCATCCATGCCGAGGACCCAAGAGACACACATGGCATGTGGTTCTCAAGTTCTGCCCTCAAGTAGGAGAGATCTGATGCCGTTTTCGTGTTTCATGAGAACATTAGTACCCTACTGCTGCCACATGAATGTCATGGTCAGGAAGATGTTGAAGAAAAGGAGAAGGTGGCCACGGGAGAGGCACCCCAAATTTCCACACCAATTTAGCAGCCTCTGATTACATCAGCCTTAAATCCTAATAAATATTAATGTGATCTCATCTGAGTGGATTCTGATGTTTATAATCCCAACTGGTAGTAGATTGCAAGAAAGGTCCCCCACCTTTTATGATGTAATATTCAGCTTTTCCTATCGAGAAGTAGAGTCTATTTTCCCCACCCCATGATTCTGAACTGGCCTATGGCTTACTTTGACCAATGAATATTGTGAGAGTAATAGTCTACCAGTTTACCTCCTCTTGGGAAGTTGGAGGCAGTTCCTCTCCCTCTTGCGACACCTGCCTGCCCTATGAGAAAGACTAGGCTGGCCTGCAGGAGGCTGAGAGCCCACCCAGATCAGAGTTGGCAGCTTGGTTGTCTCAGCTGGGACTTCAGACCTGTGAGAGAGCACCACAAAGATCAGCTCAGAGCTATGAGGTTGCCTTGCTGAGAGCAGAACAGTCACCCAGCTGAGCCCAGGCTAAATCGCCAACATGCAGAACTTTGAGCTAATTAAAGGCTGTTGTTTTAAGTCACTAAGTTTTGGTATGGATGTTATGCAGCAACAACTGACTGGTGTCATTGGTCCTTATTTATTGAGAAACCCCAGCATTTGATTCTCAGCACCATGCTGGACTTGGAGGCCACAGAAACATCATGGTAATAATGGAGAACACATGGAGAGCTGCCCATGTGTCCAGTCATTCACTCATTCAGCCAACATACATTTATTGAGCACCTGCTATGTGCCGAGCACAGTGCTGGGTAGTAGAATTCTAAGAGTTAAAGGGTACAAACAAAATCAGGTCTATAAATCCTGGGGAGAATGCTGAGGGCTGTAACTGCTTTTAGGAGTTCAGACACATAAAATCTGGATTGAGATGCAAAGACAGAAAGGGACATCAACAGAGAAGGTCAGCAGAGGGCCTTGGAACCTGGGCTCCTAGGCTCTGGCCGGTTCAGCTCACACTGTCATGTGTGCAACTAGCCTACTCTTCCTCCCCAAGCACATTTATGGAACTACAACTGCAGAGGGAAAGGTTGTGGCTATGAGTGTCAGGGAGGGTGCAGACAGTCTGTGCAGGAAGCGGCAGGCATGAAACCCAGGTGCTGGGGCCCAAGCCAGCAGACACCTTTCCTCCTTGGTGTCCCGACCACAGCAGAGACCAGTTCCCAACTATGAAGGTATCTGACTAACTGACAGTGGAGGAAGAGGGGCCAGGGCTGGGGCCAGGCCTAGGGCCAAGGCCAGGCTCAGTGTGGGGGCCAGGGGTTCTCTTGTGAGATTCAGGCGGTCTTTTCCTTCTCCCACTTGTGGGATCCCAGCTTCCGGTCTCTAAGGTGGAGGGGAGACTCTACAAGAATCCCTGGACTTTCCCTGGGAAATCTGCTCCCCTCAAAGGCAATCGTTCATTCTGCCAGCAAGTCTGTATTGAGGACCCACTCCACCCCTGCACCCCAGGCTCCATGGAGCTCTCAGACCAGGGGATTGTCAAACAGGTTGGAATTGGGGTGGGCTCGGGAGTCATGCCCACTGTCCAGGAGGGAGGGAGAGTTTCCCCAAGGAATGCTGAGGTCTGACACCTCATCTGAGTCCTGAAAATGAGGAGGAATTGGGGGAGCAACAGGGTGCTCTGAGTCTCCCGGGTAGAGGGATGGAAGATAACACACATATTCACAAGCTCCTCACCCACCTACCTTTCCCCGGCTCAGCTGAAGCCCCTTCTCCTTCTTTAGTTTCTCCAGAGCAAAAACCTGGGTGTCAAATGCTTCTCATATCCCACATCCCACACCCAATCTGTTGGCACCACCTTCAACACACATCCAGAGTCTGTATTTATAAAATACTTCAGTCAAATGCTTACATGAGAGGGGGAAAAATCTAGGATCTGACCGCTTCTTACTACTGTCACTGCCGCAGTTCTGGGGTCGGAGCCCCCATCGGCTGGCGTCTGGGTTCCTGCAGCTGCTCTTTGTCATTCTCCCCACGCCCCTCCATCTGTTTCCCATACAGCAGCCGGTAAACGGAGCAACTGAGTCCAGCCCTGGCACCCCCTCCTCACCCCCTCAGAACCAATGTGTTTATTGTGCCATCCCCTCTGAGCCGGGGCTGGAATCTCACCATCTTGATGAGGCTTATTAAGTGACCACCCTATTTAACATTGCCCCTTCCCGCTGGCATTTCCCGTCCCCTCTGTCCTCCCTCTACTCGTGTCCATTTCACAGATGTGAATGGAGGACCAGACAGGCCTGGTGAGTTGTCGTGGGTCCACAGCAGCTCTGGGATGTGAACCCACGTCTTCTGAGTCCCAGTCCCTTGCCTCTCATTGTCTTTCTCAAAACGAGGGGGTTGGTTAAGTGTCCAACAGTGGATGACTGGATCAAGAAAATGTGATGCATATATACAATGGACTACTACTCAACCATCAAAAAGAATGGAATCGTGTCTTTTGCAGCACCGTGGATGGAGACCATTATCTTAACTGAACCAACTCAGAAACAAAGTATAACACTGAATGTTCTCACTTGTGAGTGGGAGCTAAATAATGGGCGCACATGGTCATTGTGAAATAGACATTGGAGACTTGAAAAGGCAGGAGGGTGAGAGGTGGTGAGGGATGAGAAATTACCTGTTGGGTACAATATTCACTATTCGGGTGACAGGTACACTGAAAACCCAGATGTCACCACTGCACTGGTACTCCTGAGGTTTATACTGAAAAAAAAAATGAGAAGGTTGGACTTGATGCTTTCCGAGATGAAGGCTCTGGAGTCAGAGTTCAAATTCTGCTTTTATTGCATGACCTCGAGCAATTTACTTGACTTTGTCCCCACCTCCTAGGTTTTCTAAAAGGGTAAATGAGACGACATGCAAAACTCTCAGCAAAGTGCTCAGCATACAGTAAGTGCTCAATAAATTCTACCCTTCTTACTTGGACCCTGACATCCTGAGATCCTGAATTCCTGATGGAGTGGATCACGGGTGTTTCAGAGGAGTTGCTTTAGTGGGGCATTATGGCTTTTTTTTTTTTTCTTTTTCTTTTTTAACTGTACACCTCTGCCTCCTGATGCTGGGAGCCTTGATATTTGTCTCCAGAACTTTGCTTCTTTCACAGTTGGTGTCATCAGCTGCTTGTTAGCAAGCCACAACTGGGGAAGCCGACAGTCAGTGTTGCTGAGCCAACCCATGGGGAGGAAAGGACCACCTACCTCTCTGCATTCATAGTCAAAGCCCAGCTGACAAGAAATTGGCAGCTGCCAGGCCCAGCTGTGACCAAGGTCAGGCAGGGCACGGAGTGCCTGGCTGTGGTTTGGGGGCAGTACGTGCCCACACCGCCTTCCTTTCCGCCTCCTTCCCTTCCCCTCCCTCTATGTGTTCTCTCTCCCTGACACAGCCGCACGCGGGGGGCCAGATTTTTCTTGCTAAACACAGCTTTGCTTTGCTTTTTCATTTTGGGGAGAATGTCATAGGCAATCTGCTTCCATCCACAATGCCTTCTTCTTCCTGTCACCGTGTGCCTCCCCGACCTTGAGGACCTTCTGTCCACGAGCACAGGCACTGTCACTGACTCTGACAGCTTCTGTTCCCCACGCCAGGCCCTGAGCTAGGGGCATTCTCATCCCTGACCTCATGTAGTCCTCAAGCCCTATTTGCGTCATTACTATTATTGTTATTAATATTCAACCTTCCAAGTAGCTGGAACTACAGGAACATACCACCACGTTGGGCTAATTTTTTTATTTATTATAGAGATGAAGTTTCACCAGCTTGCCCAGGCTGGTCTTGAACCCCTGGACTCAGGTGATCCTCTAGCCTCCGCCTCCCAAAGTGCTGGGACTACAGGTGTGAGCCACTGCACCTGAGCACCAGTTTACTTCATTATTAATCACATTTTACGGAAGGAGAAACTTGAGTCTCAGAGGAATGAAATGACTTGTCCACAGCCACATGGCTGGTGAGGGGCAAACCTAGAGTGCTACCCACCCCAGTCTGTGCTCTTTGCTTTAAGGGTGTCTGTTTGTGAGAGGCAGTGCTGGCAGCAATGATACTGTGGTGGAGAGGATACTGACACTTTCCTCGTGCTCTTCTGGGCGTTGACAGTCTGGGGCAGGGGCTCCACAAAACCCCACTTTGGCCCCAGAAGCAGAGGAACGGGAGGGGTGGAGTGAAGCACCAGTGGTGACTCATAATGTCCACTAGGTGTCACCCAAGTTCTAGAAAAGAGTCATCAGCTGCGCCCCAGAGGGTCTTGAGGCATGGGGGAGGAGGGGGAGGAAAGGGGTCTTAAGTCTTCAGGTGATGGCGGCGGGATCTAAGTCCGGGCGGAGATGGCAGCCCTCTCCTCAAGCCTTAGCACAGAAGCCCTCACTCACTCGGAAGGAGGCATCAGGAGTCCCAAAGGAAGAGGACTCCAGATGGTGGAAGCAAGAAGCCTCCTCCTTCTTACAAAGTGGGCCTCCCTGTTCCTCCTCTCCGCCTCCTGGGTGACCCCAGACTTACCACCCTAGCCCCATTCCCACTTCCTTTGAGGCAACGTCAGGACAGCCACCTGGGCTTCCCTCTCTGCACTCCCAGTGACACCCCTTGACAAGTGTCAAGGTTGGGATTGCGCATGACTGCCTCTCCCACCCAGGCGGTGGGCAGAGGCTCGAAGCCGAGCATCACAGCTGGAATGGAGAGACCGTCTGTGTGGGCCTGCTGAAGATGATCTTGTCCAGGGTATCAGACTTCAAGAATTTCAAGAATGGAGCGGGGGAACCTTTTCTTCTCACAGCATCTCATGTGAACGCTCTCTGGACGTGGGAAAGCAGGGCTGTGGTGGCTCGGCCTCCTCCTCCACAGGGATCACCTGATGTCTCAGGAAAGCCCATGGAAACGGGCACTCTGGTCACTCTGTTCAGGAGGAAACTGACGCTTGTAACGGGAAGGAAACCAAGAAGGAGAAGGGGCCAGGACCAGGATCTAGGACCGGCTGCCCTGCTGGATTCTCGTGTGTCTCCACCATTGCTGCCCACTTTCACTTAGAAGTATCTGGGCACAGTGGCTCACACCTGTCACCCCAGCACCTTGGGAGGCCAAGGTGAGAGGATTCCTTGAGCCCAGGAGTTCGAGACCAGCCTAGGCAATATAGCGAGACCTCATCTCTACAAACAAAAATTTTAAAAATTAGTCTGGCATGGTGGCATGTGCCTGTAGTCTACTTGGGAGGCCGAGATGGTAGGATCACTGGAGCCAGGAATCAAGGCTGCGGTGAGCCAGCACAGTGTCATTGCACACTGTACTCCAACCTGGGTGACAGAGTAAGACTGTCTCAAAAAAAAGAAAAAGAAAAAGAAAGAAGTATCTGGCCTCTTAATTAGTGATCATGAGGGTAATACTCTCCTGCTTCCTTTCCCCTCTCTCACCCCTAATCAACTCACAAAGCCTTTTTCTCCCTGCCTGCTCAGTGGCTGTTATAACAAGCCTATGAGTCTTCAAGCCAAAGATGAAGCCCCATTGCTCAGATGAGACAACTGAGGTTCACTATATGTTAGTGGCAGAGCTGGAAGCAGGACTGGGTGGCCTGGCATCCAGGACTAGGTGACCTGGCATCCCTTGTCCCACTGCCCTGGCTGCCCGAGTCATAATTAAGGAGGTGCCAGGACAGATGGTTAAGTTGGATGCTGGGGACTCAGAGCCCAGCCCTGTCACTTATGACCTGTGTGACTATGGGCAAGTTGCTTTCCCTCTCTGGGGGATTGCTCATCAGAAAAAGGTGGGGAGAGCGTTGTGGAAATAGACATGTGACAAGCGCTTAACCCTGTAACTGTAATTGTCCCTGGGCTGGACTATGGGGCCCAGGACTGTGGTCTCAGCACCACCTTCTTACCCCAAGGTTGGGCGGCAGGAAGGAGACAGGCCATGCTAGCTACTAGGTGCCAGGGAGCCCGCCTTCCTCAGAGCTGGAGGCACAGGAGGGAGTCGCTGTGGCCTCCCAGACCCCTGGCCCGGGAGGATCCAGCAGGGGCAGTTGAGGCAGGAGGCCTTTATTCATCGGAGGAGTGGATACCAAGTCCTGTAGAAGGCCTCTGGGGGCTGCAGCATCTGGGAGAGTCAGGGTGAGGTGGGGGTGGCCAAGACCTCTGAGCAGCCGGGACTTTTTGCAGGGAAGGACATGTGCAGAGAGGGAGGAGCACAGCTGGAGACTCATGCCCCTACAGGGAAGGGACTGTGGCCCTGTCCCTGCCAAAGATGCCGGGTGCCCGTCCCAGCTCCAGTCCTGGCTGAGTTGGGACTTTAGCTCAGAGATTCAGGCCAGCATGGGGGCGAGAAGGGCAATTTGTTAGCTGAGCTCCCAGGGAGGTCAATGGGGAGTCTTTGTGACTGGCACACAGGTGCCCACCACGACCGTGGCACCACAGCCAGCAGGAAATGGGAGCCTACTTCACACTCAGTGACTCCTCAATCCTGAAGGTTGGTGTTCTAGAAGCTGCAAGGTGTTGGCCCTGTTCTCCGTCTCTTTCGTACATGTCCCTTCCTGCCTCTCTTCGCGGCTCTCCCTCCACAGTGACCACAGCCCATGAGGGCACTGCTAGGGCAGGCCGAGCTTCCTGGTGGCTGTTCTGGGTGTCCAGGCAAGAGGGTGGCATCAGTGGTCCTCGGCTGCGAGGCAGGGCTGGCTCTATGGAGGCTGCTGACCCCAAGATCCAGGCTGAGGCAAGGAAGGAGCAGGGGAGGCTGTACCTGGAGAAACAAGGTGCTGGGCAGAGTTGGGAGGCCACCACACTGAGGCCTGATCCCTCCACCTTGGCCCACAATCCCAGGAACCCGCCCAGTGAGGCCCTGCACGTATGCCGAGAGGACTCTCCATCTGCTGATGGCCGTCACCTTGTCCCACCTCACCCAATGCCCCCCTCTCTTCATTACCCTGCTCCCTCCCTACTGCCTTCTGGAAGCTTCCACACAGCCCCCTGCCTTGACCCCACCCCTCTTCATTTCCCTCTTCACTGAGGTGAGTCTCCCCACGGACAGGACTTGTGAACCTGGATACAGCCCTACCTCTCCTTACACAGGGAGGGAGGGGTGTATGCCCATCCCCCACTGGCCCTAACTGCTGCCCCAAGCAAGGGCCAGGATGGCCTTGTTTGTCAGGGATCCAGGGGGCCAGGGCCAGGGAGCTCCTCAGAACCATGTGGTGTGACCAGGCAGGGCTGGGTGTGCCATGTCTGTGTGTGGGTCAGTGGAGGCAAGTAGAGGAGCTGTGAGTGTGAAGGGGTATATTCAAGTGTGTTCCCATCTTAGTCCTTGTGCACCCAGGGGTGTCACTGGGCATGTGGGCTCTGTCGGTCCCTGGGAGCCTGCTCTGAGTCCCGGCTTCTGAGCTGTGACACGAAGGCCACCCTCTGGGGGGCGGGCCTGAAGTCACGTGCCACCTAGATGAAGGCAGGGGTAGCCCCTGCTCTGTTAATGTGACCCTAGAGAGCCACATGCTCTCCAAGCAAAGATCACCCAGGTCATCCTATGGTGTTGGCCAAGGGGCTCCAGAGCCCAGGTCCCAGATCTTGATCTTAGATACACCCATGTTCTGGGCCTGAGCTGGCAGCTTCAAGGTTTCAGGGAGTCAAGCTGGGACCAGTGACGGGGGCTAGTGACAGAGGCCCAGCTCAGAGGCCCCTCACTCTCAGGTCTCTTCACGTACACTCAGGAGAGACCCCTACATGCTCCATGCTTCCTACTCAGTCCAGAACCAGCAGCAGGATTCAGCTGCACTCAAGCTGGGCTGAAGGAGTCGGGGCACAGGCCTGGCACCTACCCACCCCTGCTCCTCTGTCTGATCCCCAGCGAGACCCTCTGCCCGCTCTGCTCTCTCAGACCTCAGAGGTGCTAGGGAGGGGTAGGGGGAGAGGTGTGTCTGCAGGCATCATCCTCCAGGGGCGGCTCATAGATGCTGCAGTTGGGTGTGCAGCCCCTGCAGTAGACGTTGAGATAGGCACGGTACTCCTCCCTGTACTCCTGGCGCTTGAGGCACAGGACCAGGCTCTTGTCACACTCGCACGTCTGCTTGTCACACTCTGTCGTGTTGAGGTCACCTGTGGGGGTAGGGGAGGCAGAGGCTATGGGCGAAAGGGGCAGTGGCCCCACCAGGGCCTCGGCTGGGGAGAGAGCCCAGTGGTCCCCCGGAATGAGGTCCTGGGCCAGCAGCACCAGCTTCGCCCATGCACCCCACCCCACACCTACAGGATCAGCAGCTCTGCGCCAGAGCCCAGCAGTTTGTGTTGTAACAAGCCCTCTAGGCAACTCTGGTGTGTGCTAAAATTGAGGAACAGCTAAAATTGGGGAACAGCTAAAATGAGGGAGACAGCTAATATTGGGGAACAGCTAAAATTGGGGAACAGCTAAATGGGGGGACAGCTAAAATCAGGGAATCCCCAAAGTCCAACATAGTCACTGTATAGTTGAGGAAAGTGAGGCACAGAAGGGGGGTGGGTTTACCCAAGTCACCCAAAGAACTAAAGGTTCATCCTCAGGCCAGTTAGTTTCTGCTGTACCAGACATCCTCCCTTCAGCCACAGTCACCTACCCCGGGGGAAGCTACTGACAAGGACTGAGTTAGGAAAGGAGCTCAGCTCAAGGCCTCAGAGCCTAAAATGTTCGGTACACAGGACACGCTACTGTTGCCTGTGGCTGCGCTGTCATGACCAGCGTCCTGAAGTCATCTTCAGGTCGACATCAAGATCAGCTGGAGGACTTGTTCAGACTGCTGGACTCATCCCCAGGTTTCAGGCTCAGTAGGTCTGGGTGGGACCTTTCATTTGCATTGCTTGCAAGTTCCTGGGTGCCATTGCTGCTACTGGTTCCGGGAACAGCACCCTTTGTGAACCTCCCACTAGCCAGAGTGGTTTGCAAACTTTTCATACTTTCATTGGCAGAATCCTGCCTCTTAAATGAAACTCTTTGTAGAAGGCTGGCATATCAAACAGCCCAGAGATAAGGAGCTTAATTATACATACACTAACAAGGCAGCCAAACCACTTAGGGACCATGCCCATATCTCTTTGATAACCCCCCAAATCTCTAGAACCCAGTGTGAAACCCACCACTTTAGATGAGTCCCTTTTCCCTGGATGGGTGGAAGGGCATTTGTCTCCCTCAACTCTTTTTTTTTTTTTTTAAATTGAAGTCGCACTCTTGTCACCCAGGCTGGAGTGCAGTGGCACTCATGGCCACCGCAGCCTCAACCTGCTGGGCTCAGGCGATCCTTCCACCTCAACCTTCCAAGTAGCTGGAATTACAGATGCACGCCACCATGCCTGGCTAGCTTTTGTGATTTATTGTAGAGACAAGGTCTCACCAAGTTGTCCAGGCTGGTCTCGAACCCCTAGGCTCAGGCAATTCTCTCATCTCAGCCTCCCAAAGTGCTGGAATTACAGGCTGAGCCACCGCACCCGGCCTCCTCCAACTCTTTAATGCCAGCTCCACCACCCCAATGTTTCAACAGTAGAATTGGAGGACCACAGAGCTATGGGCTACCAGGGGGCTCCATATGCGCCCCGTGTTCCACCAGGTGACAGGAGACTCAGGTTTCTTTGCAAAGCTGGTGTTGCTTGTAAGCTATTAATAAGGAACAACTTGCAGAGCCGAGTTAAGACACAGAGGCAGAGAGCCCAGTGGCTGTCCCTGGACAGGGCCTGGAGGGCACCTACCTGCCCCAGAGAGAAGTAGAGGTGGCAGGGCAGAAACACCTGGGCCCTGGTACTTGGATGCCACTTGCCTGCACTCCTCAGCTGTGGAATGGCCATGGAGAGTTCATGGTAAAGGAGAGAGGCCTTAACACTGGGTGTCCTGGGGTGGGGTCCCAGTGACAGAACTGAAAGGGGAAGGGTCTGCCCTGACCCAAACCCCTCAATGTACCCATGCATGAGAAGTCTGAGGCCAGGTGGGAAGGATCCTGCCCAGGGCTGCACAATGTGAGGAAAGGGTGATAGGACCATGTTCAAACCCGGGTCCCCCGACTCCCAGGCCCGCATGTCTCAGACTCATCTGGGGAGCTGGCTAAAATCCAGATTCCTGGGTCCACCCAGACCCACAGAGCCAGAATCACTCGGAATATCAGGGATAGAAGAACCAGGGTGCTAATGCCAGGCTTGGGGACCAGAGCACATCAGTGAGATATTCTAGAGCCACAGGTAGGCCTGGCAGAGTTAGATTTAGCAAATAATCAAAATAAAAATAATTCCACATTGTTAACCAAAACACAGGATGCCTGGTTAAATCTGAGTTCCAGATAAATAAGACATGCCTAGTATAATCATGTCCTATACTTAACTGGGACATACTGATGCTAACTCTTCATTTTCTATGAATACGACTTAATTTTATACTAGTATTTAATTTTTAGCATTAGTATGTCCCTTGCAATAAATAGTCAGGATCACTTCGGCTGGGTGCAGTAGCTCAAGCCTGCGATCCCAGCACTTTGGGAGGCTGAGGCAAAAGGATTGCCTGAGCCCTAGGGTTCAAGACCAGCCTGGGCCACTTGGCGGGACCTCGTCTCTACAATAAAAAAGGAAAAAATTAGCTCGGTGTGGTAGCTCATGCTTATAATTCCAGCTACTTGGAAGGTGGAGGTGGAAGGATCGCCTGAGCCCAGCAGTCAAGGCTGCAGTAGCGTGAGCAGCGTGCCACTGCATTCCAGCCTGGATGACGGAGTAAGACTCCGACTCAAAAAAAAAAAAGTTAGAATCATTTCAGATAAACATTTCTCATTGTTTATCTGAAATTCAAATTTCACAGGGCAGCTTGTATTTCATCTGGCAAGATCGCCCACAGCCTGCACAGGCAGGTGGGGCCGGCAGTTCACACCCTTCTCCCAGGGCAAGTGCCAAGGAGGGAACTCACTGCAGATGATCTTGGTGTTGTTCTCGATGGTGTAGTTGTAGTGATCCACATAGGGGTGGCAGTTCCGGTCAAAGAGCTTCTGGTAGCAACAGTCGTGGGCATGGCAGCACCTGGAGTGGGCAGGGGTGCACAGGCAGGTGTGGCCAGGCTGGCCCATCTCCCACCACCAGGCACCTCTGATCATCTATTCCAGTCCCTCACAGGTTAGACCTTCAGACTGAAGCCCAGAGAGGGGCAGTTCCTTGCCTGCGGTCACACAGCCAGGAAGCGCTGGGGCCAGCACTCTGCCTCTTTTTCTATCCCCAGGGCTCCCAGCTTTCCCCCTGGAGCTCTGGATACAGTTGCTGGAGGGGTCAGGCCGTCCAACAATGGGGACAGGGGGACAGAGAGGGGACTGGGTTTAAGTCAGTGTTGGAGGAGCAATGACTACCGAGGTTGTCCCTGGTTGTGCCTGATGGCCAGGGAGGGACAAAGGTCTGGAAGGTTGATGGGGACGGAGAGGATGCGAGGTAAGAAGCAAATTAGGTGTGGCTGTCCCTATCATGTCTGGTGGAGGGAGGTCAATTAGTCAACATGCATTTATTAAGCTCCCAGTGATACCAGACTTGGTGCTGACTGCTGCTGGAGAGATAGAGGCAGAAGATAAGCCAAGCTGCTGGGAACTCCCAATCTGATGGAGGAAGCACAGTCCTGTTCTCCGGAGACGGCAGTCTGTGAGGGGCGGGTCACAGCCCTTGCCTTTATGGGGCATCAGCTGGGTGGCTGCTATTCCTGTGTATGTTTGGGGGCAGGTAAAAGATTTTTCCCTGGAGAGAAGAGGGGTTGACATACTTCCAGCCCCAAGATCTTGGAGATGGACAACAGCACGAGTCCAAGACAGGAGTAGAGGAGGACATGGTCATAAACCAGGCTCCTTATCACCAATTCATCAAAGAAGCTAGATCCTTTGGGGAAAGAAACCTCTCCCTCCTCTCAGAGATGGTGATCAGGGTCAGTCTGACCTTCAGTTGCTCCCACTCGTCCCAAGGGGAGCCCGGGGCTCTGGCACCTACCAGTCCACCCCATCCACGGGCTGGCCACGCCCCCCCAGCCCGCAGTAGCAGCCGTAGCCCACGAAGGACAGGATGGCGCTCTTTCCTGTGATGGCCTCCACCATGGCTTTCAGGTTGAACAGACTGCCGTGGGCAGTAGCCAGAACTGCAAGAGAATCGGGGGTACTGTGAGCCCCTGCCCCATGGATGGCCACCCCCCACCTGTCCTGTCCTGTCCTGATTGTCCTCCCAATGCCCAGGGCTGGAGAAAGGGGTAGGGCAGAAGGGAGGAGGCAGGAGAGGAAGGGGAGTGGTAGGGTGGGTGGGCAGCCCAGCTAGAGGAAAGGAGAAATCTACAAAGAAATCTACAAAGTACCAAGTATGGGACACAGTGTGCTGCTCATATTCCTGCAGAAGTTCCAGAGCCCTGAGAAAACCACTGAGGTCACCTTGACTGAGAGCTTGCTCCAGGCCAGGCACTGTCCTGAGCCCCCTCCATGCATTAACTCATCAAGTGCTCACTGCAACCCTATGAGTGTTGTTATCCCTCTCTAGAGGTGAGGAGACTGAGGCCTGGAGCACTTAGAAATTTGCCTTAAGTCTCATTGTCTGAAAGTGGTGAGGACAGAATTTGGACTTAGGCCAAATATGAGGGTCCACACCATGGACCCTCTGCCACCTGGCTGTGCACACATCTCAGGGGCTGCCAAGTAGTACCCTTGCTGAGAGGAGCTTCCAGATGCCACATGCTGTTGTTGGTCTTTTCTCTCCTTTCCTAGCCTCTGTCTGGTGCCTTTGCCCCCACTATGGGGTCCCCAACCATGGTCCCGGGGCTGGTGCATCTTAGAATGAATCCAGTGTCAATTCTATGCTCTGGTCGTTTAATGAAGATATGAAAAAAGCGTCATTTTACAAGCTGATAGTGGCTGGGTGTCGGAAGAGGGACACACCCAGGAAGCAATAGTGCAAGGACACTTTCTATGCCAGCAAAATCAGCCTTGTGGCCAGGACTGCCCACCCCATGACACATCTCCCCTCACCCATTGCTGTCCTCTCTCTTGCACCCAGTGCCTGGGCTACCTCTCCAAGCAGTGTATGCTGCCTCCAGGCATCGTCCTGGGCTGAGCGCTGAGTCATTGCACTGAACCTGGAGCCCTCAGTTCTTACCTGGCAGTGCTGCCCAGCACATCGCAGGAGAGCTAATCTACCCCCATTTTATGGATGAGGAAACTAAAGCACAGAAAGGTGCAAGCTTGCCCAGGTCGTTCAGGCAGAAAGGGGCAGAGCCAAGCACCACCTTGGGTCTGTGTGTCTGGAGCTGTGACGCTAACCCCGTGCAGTGCACCCTCTGACTGCCTCCTCCATCCAGGTTGCTCTCAGAGCCAGATGCCCAGTTCAGCACCCTGCTCCCTGTCCCCTTCTCTGCCCCAGAATTCCACTCCAAGAGCAAGGAAATGCACCAGGAGAGGGAGGAAGCCAAGGACTTTAGGACTGGGGGCTCAGTGGCATCCTGGAGGCATCCTTGCTTGCTTCTCGAGACATGATGTCCGACAGCTCTAGTGACAGAGAACTCACCTCCTCAGCACGCTTTGTGGACAGAGCACACTCACTCACCTCACACCCACGCACTCACATACTCACGAACCACAAACACACTCACATATACAACAGCACCCAGGGGAGAATCAGGGGCCCAACATGAGGCCATGTCCACACTCACACTCTAAGGGCAAGAAGCAAAGTCGCTGTTCCGTCAGGCTGGAGGCTCTGTCCCTAGCCAGTGGTTTGGGCTGAGCTCAACGGTAGTTTTCTAAATGATAGGTCACTTTGGCCTGAATGCAACAGCTCTGTCTCATGTCTGGCCATCCTGAAACTTTTGTTTCTGGCATTTATTTATCTTCCTCAAACCAGGCTGTGTTCAGGTGAGGCCCGACAGGTTGCATGAGAGGCTGGCGAGGGGTTCAGCAGAAACTCTGCCCCGTTGACGCGCCTGCCACAGGGACGCCCAGATGGGGATGTGGGCAGGGTCAGACTTGTGTCAGAAGCCTCTTGCGACAGTTCTATGGGTGGCTGCCCCCAATCCTGGTGCCTCAAGAACCACCCTTGGGAAAGAAGCCCCTGACCCTCCCACCCCATCCCGTATACCCACACACCTATACCCACCCACATACATACCTCCACGCAGGTTTATGCACCTACATGCATGAGCACACTCTGCACACACTCACACAAAGACACAGAAATAGGCTCCACATGCAGGTGCCAACACTGTCCTCCATTTTACTGACAGTTGCACACAGACATCACCACAAACTCAGTCACACCTACACACATAGATCCATGCATCTGTCTGCACACCAGCTTGTGAACTCTTACCCACATGAACACACACACACACACATTCATACACATTCTTAAGTACATAAACACCCAGCAAACAGTCGGTTTATGATGCTTGCTCAGCTCTGTGCCTGCCCCCCTGGAGCTTGTAAATGACTGTTTACGGTGGCTGGATGGGGTAAACAACCCCAGAAAGGATGAAGTAAAGGCCCAGAGAGGGAGGGGCCGGCCTAAGGTCTCAGATCGGTCAGTGGAACAACATCCCAGACATCCAAGGTCACAGGCGACAGACTGGGAGGGAGAGAGAAGGAGATATCCCTCCCACCACCCCCATCCTGTCTTTACTCACCGCTGCCAGCCAGGATGGCGATGGCGAAGAACTTCGTACCCAGGCTAGACCTGAGGGAAGGAGAAACCCAAGGTCTAGTCCACCCCTCCATCCTCCTGCAGTTCCTGGCGTGCAGCTCCTTCCCAGGGCTCTTTATGGGTGCCATTCTCATGGTCCCTCGAGGCCCCAGAGATTAACGCTTCCCACCTGTCCAGCCCCTCTTGGAGGGTCACACCCCAGATGGTAGAGCCAGGAGACACCAGTGCCTCTCTCCCTCCCACCCAGAGCAGGAATCCCCTCCACACGTGAGCTATCGATACAGGAAGTCCACTGTCTGAGGCCAGAGCAGCTCTCTCTCATCCACATGCCAGGTTCTCTGTGTCAGGGAGACATGTGGCCCAACATTGCGGCTGCGTCTTAAACCCGGAACCAAGAGAACTGGGTCCCTGGACTCTAGTCCCGGTTCTGCTTTCAAAATGTTATGTGACCATGAACGGATCCCTCAACCTCTCTGGGCCTCAAGTGCCCCATGAGGGTTGACTGATTCCAAAGACTCTTCTAGCACTGAAGGTGTAGTGACCTATCTCAACCCATTACTCAGACACTAAGAGCTCTCCTTTCTGGAGAAAAGGATTTCAGGAGCTGATCCCTCACCCCCATCCCTGCCCCCTCCATAGAGAATTTTATCCCAGGCACCTACCTGGAGATTTTCGAAGAACAAGAGGCTCTGAGGCTTGGGCCTTTCCATGCAGAGGAGCATCTAACCAGCACCTTCTTCCTGAACCCTTTGGGGTTGGCCTGTGCCCCATCTGCCATGTTCTGGATTCTGGAGGGCCAGCAACATAGGTCTCGAAAGTTCTATGATGTGCCCAGAAGGCTGCCTCACACGCTGGTCGGGAGTGCAGGGGCAATGCCCCTGGGCAGGAGGCAGGTGACACATGCCCTAGAAAAGGGAAGCTCCACCTCCTCCCTCCCACCCCACAGCCCTGCCCACAGCCAGCTGGTACAGTCTCCTCCCCCAGGGTGCTTTGGCCTGCCCAGCTGGGGGATGGTGACATACCTGACAGGAGTTGGCCCCTCCCCAGCATCGGAAAGGAAATTAGCCGGAAGGCCTCTGTATTCCCATTTGAAGGATGTTACAGAAAAGGTCATTCAGTGACACTTGCTGAAGTATAGTAAGGCAGGCTTGATTCAAGGGGTCATTGGGATAGGAGTAGGGGCCACTGCAGTGGGGAAGAGATTGGACTCAACTGCAAATACGAGGGCAGATGGGAGTTCACAGCTAAGGAGCAGGGGGGTGTCTGTGGCTGGGTAGTTACTGAGAAGAAACACCAGGAGTCTGGGGGATTCTGGCAAAACAGACCCAGCAAGATTCTTGCTGAAAGCAGGTCAGGGAGATGTGACACACTTGAAGGATGTGGAGGACGAGGAACCCCAGCAGATGTGGAGGGCCACGGCAGGGATACTGGCAAAACCAACTTGGCGGGATTCTTGCTAAAATCAGATGAGAGGCAAATACGGAGTCCAAACATCAAGGCCTAGTTGGCAAGAAAGTTCCCGGGAGCCTGAGTTAGAGTTTGGTCAAGGAGACCCCTCCATGCGGACATGTCCATGCCTGGAAGGTGTTCCTTCATGGCTGGAAAGGATTCAGTTCAGAATCTGGAGAGAACTCTCTGCCCATCTCTGAAGGGGCCTCCACTCATCCAGAAGCATGTTGGTGCCCTCATCTCAGTCACCCCAGCGGAGACTGGAGGGGCTCAGGCCCAACTCATACCTAGAAGGGCAAGCCTGCTGGTTCGACCTATTGAGGTGGTCCGGGGCCAGTGCCTCCCAGAAGACTGAGCTTCAGTCTCAGTTGTGACATCCCAAATTGTCTTCAGACATTGCCAACTTGGGGGGCACAGATGCCTCAGGTTAAGAGTCTGGGGACCTGGGAGTCCATGCCGTCTGCCTCTTGTTCACGGGTGGGGTTTGCTTGATAAAGGTAGGGCCAGAGAGAAGCTGAGGTAGCTTGAACTCTGGGAGCCCCTCTCAAGGGTGGGCCACTTGAACTGGGCCTGGAGGTTAGAGCAGTTGCACTGAGAGGATCCAATGCCGGCACTCCCCCTCCTCAGCTGGAGACCCTGGCAGGAGACCCCCCTGTGTCTTTGTGTCTCCAGCTACAGAATGCATATAACAAGTCCTCACTGAGTAAAGATGATACTGTGAATGTCAGGTGTCATGTGGTATGGGGCAGGTGGGAGGTGCCCAGTTAAAAATCTGATTGTTACAAAGTAGAGGTCCCATCTCCAACCGTGGGGTGAACTGAGATGGTGTGCGGGGTGAGGGGGTGGGGACAAGGTGGAGAGAGAGAAGAGTATTCCTGGAAATTGATCCTCCAAATAATCCCCTCACCTTTACATTGACCTTCTCTCTCAGTGTTCCCAAATCTGCTGACAAGGGGCAGAGGAGACCCCTTGGGGCTTCCCTTCCTCTCCACTAGCTTTGCCAACTTCCTTTTCCAGCTACGCAAACCAACTGCCCCATCCATGAGTCATTCCCTTCTCAAGCCCCTGCCCTTCCCTGGAAACCACCTCCCCCATCCAATCACACATCTTTGTACAGAAAGGTGTTAATTTGCATTTGCTGATGCATTCCTTTGTAGATACCTAAATATGTTGTTTTGGTTTATGAATCTTTTTTTTTAAGATTGGAATATATAGTTTATTTAGAAAGTAAATGAGAGAGAGAGAGAGAGAGAGAGAGAGAGAGAGAGAGAGAGAGAGAGATTCACTTCTCCAAAGTAGAAGAGGGGGCCAAAGCTAGCCTAGCCAGTGCGTAGTAAAATAATGACCTGTTTGTGAATCTTGACACTTCCTTGGACTGGGGATTCTGGAGAGCAGGGACCTTTATTTCCTCCAAAAGCTCAGGGATTCCCTCTGGGACAAGCCTGCATCTGCCTCATCAGACTGGCAGTGATCAGAGGGCAAAGATAGTCTGCCTTCCCTTGTCTGCACAAAGCTTGACTTCTATCTTTGATTAATTTTTGCACACACCTCTTAATGACATCACCACACTCCAAAGAAGGAAGAATCAAGGAGTAGGGCCCAGTACAGTCCACGTACCGAAGATGCAGCCTCCAACCTGCAAGTAACTAGGAGGCACTTAGACCTGTGTCACAGAGGCCAAGGCCAGGGCCAGGGACCCCTGAGAGTTCCAGAGCAGCACCATACTACGTTCTCTTCTCAAACTCCCACTGGACATGCTGGTTGGGCTGGTCTTCAGAGAGGCTAAATCTTCCAGGAGATGGATGGGTTCCTCCCTTTCCCCTGCCCTCCTCCTACCAAGTACAGGGTGTTGTTCTGTCACCCAGACTATAGTGCTGGAGATGTGTGCTGGCAAACGGGCACATGTTAATAAACAGGAAAATAAGCTGGACTCAGTGGCTCAGCCTGTAATCCTGCTCTTTGGGAGGCTGAGACGAGTGGATTGCCTGAGACTGCGGGTTCAAGACCTGCCTGGGCAACTTGGTGAGACCTCATCTCTACAATAAATTAAAAAAAAATTAGCCAGGCATGGTAGTACACACCTGTAGTTCCAGCTACTTGGAAGGCTGAGACAGAAGGATCACTGGGGCCCAGCCGGTTGAGGCTGCGGTGGCTGGGAGCGTGCCACTGCACTCCAGTCTGGGTGACAGAGTGAGACTCCAACTCAAAAAAAAAAAGCAGGAAAATATACCATGATCAAGTGGGGTTTATTCCAGGAATGAAAGGTTTGGTTTTACATAAAACTCAGCCAATGTAATATACCATATTAACAGACTAAAGAAGAAAAACCATATGATTATCCAAATAAATGCAGTAAAATAAAGCAAAACAGACAAATGCCAACTGATATAGAATGGAAATCCTACTTGAAAAAGGGTATCTACAATAAACCTGTAGCTAACACCATGCTTAAGGGTAAAAGACTGCATGCTTCCCCCCCGCCAGATTAGGAAGAATGTCTGTTCTTGCCACTTCTGTTTGACATTGTATGGGTGGTTTGAGTTAGTGTAATGGTCAAGAAAAGACAACATTCAGATTAGAAAGGAGGAAGTAGCCGGGCTCGGTGGCTCAGCCTGTAATCCTGCGCCTTTGGGAGGCTGAGGTGAGTGGATTGCCTGAGCCCGCGGGTTCGAGACCTGCCTGGGCAGCGAGACCTCATCTCTACAATAAATCAAAAAAATCAGCCGGGCATGGCAGTGCATGCCTGTGATTCTGGCTACCCGGAAGGCTGAGGCAGAAGGATCGCCAGAGCCCAGCAGGTGAGGCCACTCCCGGCCACTGCACTCCAGTCTGGGCGACAGAGTGAGATTCCAACTCAAAAAAACCCCAAAAAATCAGAAAGAAAGAAGTAAGATTACCTTTATTGGCATAAAAATATTCCATGTAAAAAATCCTGTAGAATAAACAAACAAACCAACAAACCTGGAACTAATAACTGAGTTTATTAAGGTTGCAAGATATAAAATAAAAATACAAAATAATAATATTAAGAGTATGTCTACATACTAGCCATGAACAATTGGATATTAAAATTTTAAAAATACATTTACAGTTATATCCAAGACATACACCAGGAAGAAGGCCATGTGACTACACAGGCAGAGAATGGAGTGATGCAACTACAGGCCAAGGGACGCCAAGGACTGCCAGCAACCACCAGAAACTAGAAGAGAGGCTGGCTCCAGAAGGAACCAACCTTTCCAACACCTTGATTTTGGATGTCTGGCCTCATTAACTGTGAGAGAAAGAATTTCTGTTGTTTTCAGCCACTTAGCTGGTGATGATTTATTACAGCAGCCCTAGCAAATGAATACAATCACTTTCTCAAATCTTCCCTTAAACCATTTTGCTCGTATTCTCACTGATGAATTAAATAAATCTTTGCCATGGGGTCACCAAAACAACAACAACAACAACAAAACAATTATGTCAAAAAATATGAAATATTTAGAGATAAAATTGACAAAAATATGAAAGACTCGTACACTGAAAATTGTAAAACAATGCTCAGGGATCAAGGGAGACCAAAATATACCATACCATGCTTATGAATCAGAAGACTCAATATTGTTAAGGTGTCAATTATTTGTTTGCTCTATAGGATCAACACACTCTCAGTCAAAATCCTAACAGATTTTTCTCATAGAAATTAACAAACAGATTCTAAAATTCATATGGAAATTAAAAAGATCTAGTTAGCCAAACCTACTATAAAAAGATGAATATCCCAGGGTTTTAGGAGGTAAGGCGAGAGGATCACTTGAGGCCAGGAGTTTGAGGTTACAATGAGCTATGATTTCGTCACTACACTTTAGTCTAGGTGACAGAATAAGACCTTGTTTTCTCTAAAAAAAAAAAAAGAAAGAAAGAAAACAAACAAACAAAAAGATGAATAAAGTTGCAGGACTTATACTACTTGATTTTAAGTCTTGCAAAGTTGCTATAATCTACAGTGTGGTATTAGTATAAAGACAGACAAATAGATCAATGAAATAGAATAGATTATCCGGACTTAGACCTACACATATATGGAAAACTTATTTTTGACAAAAACGCAAAGACAAGTCCATGAAGCAAGAATAATTCTTTCAATGATGATGCTAGGCCAATTGGCCATAATTATGAAGAAAGAGAGAGAGAAGGAAACAAAGAAGAAAGGGAGAAGGGAAGAATGGAGGGAAAGAAGGAGGGAGGGAGGGAGAAGGACAGAGAAAAGAAAAAATCATTTCAATTCATACGTCTTACCATATACAAAAATTTGTCAAAATGGATCATAACTCAACAAGTGTGCTAAGACAATTGAATTGGGAAAGAATGGCCTTTTCAACAAATATTACTAAGATAATTGAATATCC